TATATATATAAAGCATCATGCAATACCTTAGAAATGTGTTGAGCGCCAGAACTCGTTCAGAAACCACCTGTTCCAGAACAAGACATTATAGGTGTGAGACTTCGCCCGTTCAGATGTGTTTTTTTCTTGCCTTTTTTTTCTCGAAACGGGGAACATTATCAATGCTTGCCGCTCAGGATCAATGAAACTTAAACGAATGAATATAGGTTTATATTACCTCGTCGGAGAGGTTATTGAAATATCGCCGCTTCGGGAAGGCGTAGAGTGCATGACCGATAATTGTCTTGATGCCTGGGTCTATACGCCCTAATGTTTTCGTGACTGCCGTCCGCAGTCGGTAGAAATCGCTGAAGCGTTTGAGCACTACATATCTGCTGCCGCCCTAAGTTGGTGTTATGACCAATATACCATCGGATGAGAAACAATAGGAACGATGCTTCTGATCTGTAAACACACCGTAGATACTCGAATTGGAATTCAACATCACGACGAGGAACGTACCGGTTTTTCGCACACGATCTTATAGGCTGTATGTTCGTCGGTCGTTCCGCTGTATATACCAAAGAGAGGCGGGGGGTGAAAAGCAGGGACATAAGTCTTCCAAGCGAACATTGAATGCTGTGCGGTGTATTCATCCTACATGCAATAAAGGCTACAAATGTCTTGCCAAGAAGCTCACACAATCCCACACTTCGTGACTTCACATTGTAAGCGTTTGTCTGCACATATCCCTCTAGCGCAAGGTCACAGAATAACCGTATATATATATATATATGTGTGTATCGGAATATTTGCCAATACACACATCTATCGCAGCGAGTACGGGTTAATCTCTGAAATCTTGGCTTACAACTTAACTTTACCTCTTTTCTCTCACACCCAAGATTACAGTCGCTCTGCTGATGGGCTTTACTACAATCAATTGAGAACTCTGCTCATGAACGATCTCGGAAGACATTTTCCCATGCTTCAGCTGTAGATGCTGAATTGACCTAATCAAATATTTTGTCCCGTTAGTCTAGCTTCGCCTGAAAATGGTAAAAGACAAATACGATACAAAAACGGCAATAGATTAGAATATATGATCGCCTACTCGCGCAGAAGATTGAATGCGAATACCTCTATGAAATTATCCAGTATAGGAGCGCGTTTTAAAATAAAACTAAGAAAAGCACAAACAGAAAAACCCACATATATACATATATATATATATATATATATATGTATGTAATTTTATATGTATATCTATGTATATATAATATATATATATATATAGCTATACATGTACGACTTTGACACAAACATATGTGTGCGTCAGTGTGTTTCAGTATATTCAGTATAGTATGTGTGCAGGTTTGCTATTGTGGATTTCTTCAACCGTAGGTCCTAAAAGAGTAGGCTATGATATACTGGTACTCAGATGCAAGAGAAAAGACATGAGCAGGCACATGAATTTATACCTCACCTGTTGCATACCTCGCGCGAACCATTTATATGGCTATATGAGACTATTAGTCCTCATGCTATACGCACGCACATCATTATTGCTTGTTCAGAACTATAAGGTTCGTGTGCAACATACCATATCTTTCAAATAGTTCGTCAGAGTAAAGCAAATGGAAAATCAAATAACTTCTACATTAAAGTTCATATTTGCGAATGAGATAGATATGACTGTACACATCTCGTGAAACGGAAAGAATACTTCCAGAGGGAGCGCATCATATCTCTGAGATAGTAGTTGCTGTGATAATATTATATTTGAAAATATACCATCTCAAAAATTCGTACACACATGATACGAGAGTATTTAATTTCTATACAGTAGCAGTGCATAGGCGCAGACTGATAAAACAACAATACGGAACAGGATAGGGAATCTGTTCTCAGAGAAATGGAATGATATTATATAGACAAATACTGTCCGTGATATATCTACCTGGATATCTGGATATCCTTTTGATACAGACTTGAAGACAAATGAAACACAACTGAGCGCGAGCCTACAGCATTCCTTTTTCAACGCACTCTTAAATGCACTCAAAGCCAGGCAATTTGAGCTTCTTCCCCGTGCATTTCTGTACGAGAGTAAAAGTATAGATATCAGCATACAGCAGGAACTACAATCAATGCAAGATGCGAGATAGGACTCTCATAATGTCACTTCCATTGCACTCACTATTCTCAAACTGTTGATACTCTTCATGCATACTTCGTGTATGAATAGAGTACGCCTTACATATATATATGGTTTAGAACCTCAAATAAGGACTTGACAGTTGACGCCAAAAGCCATAGAAAGCGTCATCAATTTTTGAAAGATTCATGAAACCAAGAAGTAGAACTGAGTAGCCAATGAAAACTCTTCAATTCCGTCCGACCTCATACGCTTTTATTCATTTCGGGAGTCCTGATTTGAAAACGGTGCCTGAAGATTTTGGGACAAATCATGGTGCTGGTAGCTGTAAATATAAACGTTAACCGTTACCTTTTTTTTTATTTAGGGTTTTGTAAAGTAAAACCCGAAACTGCGGCGGCTGCGGCCTGCTGCTATTTTACTTTTATTTACAACTTTTTTAAAATAAATTAAAAAACCCCTTAAAATAAATAAACCCTGGACTCTGAGACTTGAGAGTCTGAGACTCTTGTTGTGTGAGCCTCTAAGACTATATGTTTTATTTTTAGAAACAAACCCAAAAACAAGACGCCACATGAAAAAAAAATCGACCGTGTATACCTCTGATCTATATTTTGTTTTTGTTTTTTAGAGAGAACTGTTAACTGCCTATGATTTTTTAGAACAACAGATAAATAGTTAGGGCGAGTCATAGAGCCAGAGGTTGAGACTGACTGCTTTGCAACGTTTGTATTATAACTCTTGAACTCTTAAACCTTACGTATCTGTACTGTATCCGTCGCAAGAATGGGTCAAGCATTGTCAGGCCAAAAGCCGCCCGCCACAGCGGCGCTCCTGCAGCCAGCTGTGACCGGCGACCTAGATTCGATAAAGTCGGCTGTACTCACATACAAACAATCACTGGAATCCGGTTCGACACGAGGGGCTATTGAAGAAGCTGTTAGTGTGTATGTGAACAGACAAGACACTGCGGGAAATGCAGCACTTCATGGAGCGTGTTTTGGTGGGCACACTGAGGTCGTTAAGTACCTCTACGAGGGTGCTGCTTGCTCCCTGTTTTTGAGTAACGAAATTGGGTGCAATGCAGTATTCCTGGCAGCCGGGTATGGGCATGTGGGCTTACTCGAGTATCTACTGAAGGCTATTCAAACTGAGGAATCTCGGACAGGTATGAGTGTACGTTCACAGACTGTGGCATGTAACAGCACAGGCGACAACGCTCTTATCGCCGCTGCATCTCGCGGTCACACGAAAGTCGTAGACCTACTACTGAGCAGCCTAAAGGGCGATCTGGAGTTAAGTTCGGTATTGAACTCGCGCAACAAAGGCGGCGATACCCCTCTGAGTGTGGCTGTCGCGGCTGGTCACCACGAAACCGTTGCATTAATTGCTGAGCAACCAGGTATCCTCATCGACTCAATAAACAACACACAGTTAACTCCCCTTCTGGTTGCTTGTGAACGTGGCCAAGTAGATATACTTAAGACACTCCTCTCCGCGAACGCTGATTGTACTCTGGTAGATGCCAACGGAGCGAGTCCGCTGATGATCGGTGTGTTCTGCGGACACGAGAGTGTGTTGTGTGAGCTATTACAGTGGTCAAAAACACACGAAAGCGCCACAGAAACCGCCGATGCGGGTGGAGATAGTGTAGGTAGAGACCATCAGGTAGACCTCGTGAATAAGCCGGATGCCCAGAGCGTGTCCCCTCTGTGGATAGCGGCGAAAAATGGGAACCTGTCAATGGTAAAGGCGCTGGTTGCTGCCGGGGCGGATGTAGCGCATATATCGGCAGACGGTACAAAAGCATTGGATATCGCTCGAAAGCAGGGGAAGGCTGATATTGTTGAGTACCTTGAGAGTCAAGCGTAGACTTTGTCTTCATATCATTGAAATTTCCATTGACTGATTCTGTGAAGTAGGGATAGTCAGATGATGTTGCGCGTACTGAGGTCGTGTTAGTATAAGCTTTGTGTCATGATGGCAGCGATGATGCGTCGAGGAGCACGGAATCACTCGTATCATAGAATAGCGAAGAAGCACTACTTCTCACTGTAGCATAGGTAAATGCCGATATTTTCCCGTACTGCACCCCAAAGTGTCTAGCATGAGATTAGGGGTATGTCAGGATGGAAATACATTGCGCCCGGCCGAGAAGCAGAATGGTGCAACGTTAAAGATTTCCTACGATGTA